AAATATTATTTGGAAGAAATTATATCTCAGATTACTTTACAAGATCATATTAAAATGTTGGAATATGATTTACTCATACCATATCTCGTTACTCTAAGCATTTGTTATTCTAACTTTGTATGCAAAACAAAAATAAGGGAAGGTAATGCAAAGAACGATTGAGAGTATTAATAATTCTTAACTGTTAACAAGTTATTGTGTAAGATTTATTTAGTTTTTATTTATAAATTTAGTTTCCTTCCATAATTTTCTATTTAAATAAAAACAAAGTCAAGGATATGAATAAATACAATATAGATATTACGAAATCGCTTACACAGCTTAATTGTATTCAAATTTGTCAACTTACATCAATAACGCAATAAACTTTAAGAAAATTATTTTCAATAACCTCTAGAAAGATTTTGATATACAGCTTTTATCACACGGTTTCATTTGGCCAAATATTTATCCCAATCCCTCTCCATACGCCCCGAAGCCCGTTAATTCAAAAGCAATAGAATTAACTTTGCTAGACGCTCCCCACCTAACATCGGAAAAATCTTCTCAAGTTCATATTATGAAGAAAAAACTATATAACTAATATTAAAGATGTATTAAGTAAGAAAAATTTTAAGTTCATATAAAGAAAAGACCTTGACCTTGACCTTGACTAACATTAAATTAAGTTGACCTTCAAAAATGATTACTATTTATTATGAAAATAAAAACAACCAAAAACGTAACAAAGCCAATATATTATTAAAGATATGTGCATCAGCTTTAAACCCGCCGGGCGGACCCCTCTCTCCACACCTCAAACTACAGGATGTAAGGAGGCGGAGTCAGAATCAAAAATAATCGAAGGCTGCGTTCAAAATGACCTTTTAATTTGCTTTATATACGACAAACATAACATATATATAGCGAAATAGATATAAAAGTATTCGTTTTTTAATTCAAAGTGTATTTATTGGTGGTATTGATATAGTATTTTAAATCGGAGAGCGTTGATTGGTCCCCAAGTTGCGACATCCGCCTACCCAGGCTAGCTAGGAGCACTTCACCGCATGCGACTATCAAAGTCAGGCCGGCCGGTGCAACGTATCAGTCACCTGTAGCATCTGCAAACAGGCAGGCGTCCGCGCCGCGTGATCCCGATCCTGTTGCAATTGTAAATTATTAAACAATTTACAACTGAATTGTGTGAATCGATTATCAATTTACGTGAAATAATTTAAAGTCGAAAATTTCTTTAAAAAATTGTTTTAATTACTTCTGGACTTCTTCATAAACTTTATAAAAACTGATATGAAAATGTACAATGTCGCGGAAGTGCATCAAATAGACATCAATCAACAATGAATGACTACGGCTGTTTCGAGTAACGTAGAATTTTTATTATTTACTTATTTTACATTCACTTTTTACATTCGATACATTTTTTTTTCAAAATTGTCGTATTTTTAATTCTCACAAATTTTCTTTTCTGTCTTCCATTTCACCTCTTTTTTCGACGAAATAAACATTGTTTGCCTATTGAAATTCTTATGATAAATTTTATCCGGACTAAGACGCACGAAATATTGATAGTTAACAATTATTTATGTCATTATTGCTCTTGTAGCGTTCTTATAAAAAAATATTCCTATTTCTTTCATGTACTGTCTAATAAATATTTAAAATAATAATAATAATAATAATAATATAAATGTTTTGTCAAATTATGTCTTAAAAGTAATTAAAATAAAATCCCAATATTTTCTTTGTACTAAATCTCTTTAATATATGAAGAAAAAAGAATTATGCATGTAAAAATATTACATCCTCAACTTTTATTTAATTCTTATTTATCTTAATTTCTTCTGAGCATAATATCTGTAATTTTTGTACAAGAATCATTACTTACGTGCGATGAAACTTTTATTTAATGTTCGTATAAAATGTTAAAGTTCAATTGAATTATAAATTCTCAATGAGTTGAGACAAAACATATTTACTTTGCTGAATGAACAGAACCACGCATACCAACGGTGCACTTGAGCATTATCTAATTCCTAACATGTTATCACTGTACTGTGCCAAGTCAAATATGAATTAAAGCGAATCTAAGATTTCCGACTGTTTGATTTCAAACATACTAGATAGTAGATCAATTAAACACGATTTTACATGTAATTTAAACAAAATGTGCTCATCAAAAACATTCTGTAATTGCGATATGATATCAGAAAAATTTACCGAGATTATTTATAAGAATTATCTTCAAACTAAATCGGAAGGAACAATACTTGCGTTGATATTTTTATAACAATATATCAAAGGTGTAGGATAAAAACAAGAAGAAGCTTCCCAAGCAAACATTTTGACATTTAAAATATCTCAATCGATTGATGGTAACTATTTTAATTTGCGAAATTTCATCGGAACAAGTAAAAGGGCTCTTAATAAAATAGAGAGAAAACTATTCTTGAAACTTAAATTATAAATACCGTCACGATTTAAAACAATCTATTTCTTTTTCATTATCATAAGATATCATGTATGAGGAACAACTTTAAAGGGAAATCTACCGAGATTTGAAGAAAAACATATAAAAAAGGAGGTTAAGGAAGGGAAAAAAATAATCTTTTATTGAGTGAGGTAAGGTAAGAATAAACATAAACTAATTTTAATCTGCTTTATAAACACGATATATGACAGATAATCATTTTGTTACAAGATATAGAAACTGTTTTGTATATAAATTTCCATTTAAAATTATAAGTATAGACATATGTTTGAATTTATAATCTCAGTCTGATGAATGTCTAGCAATTTCATATCAGTAACAATGAGTATCACATATAATTCAGCAAGTCCCAGTTACATTTTTCACTAGCATGATGAAATAAAAAAGTAATAGTAGCTAAGTAGAAAAAAACTAGGAATAAAGTGTCGCTTTTATTATAATAACCGACAAATGGAGTGTACTTTAATTTTTAAAGTTTTTACATTTGATCTCACTTGAAAGCTTTATTGGATGACAAGACTCCATTTTTTCAAAGGAAAAAGGCTATAATTTTCCATGAGAAGGCCAACTAAAGTATCCGCAACTAATAGTAGTTAATGAAATTGAGTCTTGGTTGCAACTTGAACCAACTTTACATATCTATTGATATAATTGACTCGTAATTAAATTATTTACGGTTGTCATAAAATATATGAAACGGCTGAAATCCTTTGTTAAAAAAATTACAGTACTTACTCGATTTGAATGAATAAGCGGTGACATTAAATGACCGTGCCCATTGGCGTCTAATCAAGATTTTGCAAATTATTAAATAATTATTTTTGGTTTTTCATTAATCATATGCAGAATACTAGTTTTTAAGACGTTCTTCGTTTTCCTTATTTCGGTGGTTTGTAAGAATAAAAATATAATAATATCGCAGCGTCTTGACTTAACAGTAACATTATAAAAATGAATTATTCTTATTATACTACCACTTATTATAGGACCGTACCATCAATTAAATAAAAATAAGTATCCTATGTCAAGCTAGTTATAGAAACTTGGTAGACCAAAAGTAGTTTAAGAATGTTTGGCTTATATAAAACTGAATGAATCAACATCAGGCTTTAAATAATAATGAGACGAAAACAGAAAAGTTTTTTTATAAATTTCTCTATTATGTTATAGTAAAATTTGTCATTAAATATATAGCTTAAAATAGATATCAGTACTCATTTAAATTCTACATTTACATTGAATGTACCAATACGAATAGCATATCTTCTTTCCAGTTCGCAAAGATTAGATATCACTTAGAAAGAGTGACTAGTTTCACAGTTCACCGTCATTCCTTCCATCCCGACGTTTTCATAAATTGCTACTGAACATGTGAATTAGATGCAGTCAAGTCAAAAATATTATTGATAGCTTTAAATTTCTAGGAACGCAAATCTTTATTCAACTTAAAAAGTCAATCAATCATCTTTCAACCGTCTTTCTTCTTTCAGTTTATCTGGTCATAACTCTTATTACAGTAATTTCTTGTTACAATTAGTTTTTCATAAGACCTTCTCATACAAATAGACATTGTTTATAATAAATTTCCAAAATGTCATTAAATTCAACAATACTTACTATTAATTTTGTTGCAGTACTCTGGAATTGGCCGTTTTTCGGTAAGTGGAAAGTATTTCATCATTAAGAAAATGGAACCAAAAAATTTTCTTTTACTTCATTTAAGCATCTTGTTTTGTTAACCCAATAATTATCTCGTACACGTTTTATAAAAAACAATTCTTCGAAAATCATCACCGTAGGTGTTTAGCTGATATTCTATGGATTGAATAAAAAGGAATTGTAAAAAAATAAAATATCATTAAAATCGTGTATTTAAAAAATCTTAAATTAAAATTATTTTATGAGAAATAAACAGCATTGGGATTAATTGCCATATCCAAATATGTCAATTATCCCAGTAACGATTTGGAGTACGATGCATATTATATGTATTTTCAGGATCAGGGACGTCCTTCTATGCAGGTTCTACCATACCGGATACCGATACCCTGGCCATGAACCCCCGAAGAAAAAGAAAATAACTTTTTCAAACAAAGTTAATTACAGATACAATTCGAATGGTAGCATCGTAACAACGCAACCGACAAGCGGTAGCTCCACGTATAGTTCTCCATTACACACACCACGTTATCAAAAACAAGAAAGTTCAAATAGATATGAAACAGAGACAGGCGAAAAAAGACAGACTTCTAAAGGAGGGTCGGTTAATAACAGAAAATGTATAAGATCAAATAATGACTACGAAAAAATAAGAGGAGCTGGCCCACGATCTTCTGAGAGACGTTTCAAGTCATCAGAATTGACTTCTTCATCTTCTACAAACTTTTATCCAAGATCCAATATATCAAAGAGGAATAATTATAAACGCTACGTATGTCAACCTCGAGAGGACCACTATCCAAAAAGTTACTATGATTGGAAGGATGTTGAAGATCAGTATTGACGGCGACTGTCCGGGACGACTACGTCCACACAGGCTACTCTGAGTAGTCTGAATAAGGTATCAGCGCTACGATTGTCGCCCCGTATAAAGAAACTTTTGGCTACATCCAAACCCATAAACTCAAGGAACACTAACGCAAGATTTAATGCAAGAAGAAGAGAAAAAGCTCACAGAGTTTCATTTACTGATGAATCAGTAGGGCATTTAACCCAAGATTTTGTCAAAACACGCCCATTGACGGATTTTAAAGGTTCATTTGAATGCTTACGTAATAAACGTAGCATAGAAACATTACCTTCAACTAGTTTTGAATCGCCTGATGATGAGATCCGTTATTTAGGCAGTATTGGATACAATGAAAGGGTAGTGGAAACGCCTATTTCTTTGTATGAAAACTACGATTACGACACTCGTAGACCTAGTTCAGATAGGCACTATCATTCATATTATGGAAGGAATGAAGTAAGAAAACTCAGAAGCCGAGAAGTTGGGGTGCAGGTCGATATCTTAAGAGACTTTGGACTACATCAACTAAGAAACTTCTACGCAGGTGAGAAAATGACTGGCGTTACGGACCAGGAAAGAAGAACCATTCTCGAGTTTTGCCATCTTTTGGAGAAATCAAAACAATTTTTTAATGGATTAAGGTAAGTTGTACACCAATTAATAACTCAGGAATACTTCACAATTTTATATAGAACTAATATAAAAATGCAACATTACAGAAGTTCGTAATAATTAAACACTTTAGTTATACCCACTATGAAATAAGAAACTGATAAGAGAACTCGTTTCTGTAAGTCTTTATATGTTGTAGTCGAAGGTATTTCATACAGATTTTACGTTAAGTTTGTTACATCATTTCATAAGTTTGATGTTGCATTTTTATTTACTCAATACGAGTTTAGCTATACTTAGTTATTATTTCTCACTTGATATGATTTTATGTCTAAAGCAATAGCTATCTTTATTTGGATACATCCAGACGTTGTATGGAGAAAAAAAAATGCAATTATAAGCATTTAGGACAACGGGTGGAAAGGGGACATTATTCTCTCGTTATCCTCCAAAACAGACTTTGAAAACCCATATGGCCCCATATACATTAAGTACTTTAATTTATTTTAATTACTACTAGCCTAACCAGCGGTATTGTCCAAATGGAATAATATTTCTCTTATTATAGACATTTAGAAATGTAAAGAACATGTCTAAAATAAAAACATCCCAGGTAACTTCGTATTACATTAGATACCTTCCAGTGAAAGTACCATCAAAATTGGTCCATCTATTGCAGAGGTAAGCGGGAACAAATATTCAGAAAAAAATATATAATTGTTTTTTCAATTAATGCACTACGTAGTGATCCTTGTAAATTTAAAAAGATATGTTATTTTAATATTAGCAAAAGTTGTCATTTCATCGTATTAAAACTGACCAACCATTTGAAGAAGACCTGAATAACAAATAAATAAGATATCAATGTGACTTTTTAATATTTGTAAGTATGTAAAAGCCACCGATTCATATTTTACAAAATCAAGAATTTTTAATTTTCTTGAGTCTTTCTAACAATCTATGTAAGTAATTGTTAGTTTGGTTGGTTATCAAGACTATTAGTATCATAATATTAACCAGACCCCAAATAAATGACGAGAAACTAAAATTATTTTTTACTGCGAAAGATATTAAAGAGCAATTCGTTTGTTTGTTTGTTTCGAACGAGACGATAAAATATTGTTTAGATATAAACACCTTTTAATAAAGGTGATTAATTTATAGAGAACTCTAAACTCACTCTTAGTGTATTGTATCATAAGGAAAAAAATATGAACTAAGGAAATTCCAAAGGAGCGTATACATCAATATTTATGCATCATATAGTTATCAGGGTTTCTGGGATTTTATTTTGATGCCTGACTATTGCTGGTGACTTTTACACAATTCATTTAAGTCTACACACAAAAGATTAATATTTTTAACACACAACACCAAATACAGTAATGTAGTTTGCTTTTTAGTAAAACCTTGTGCATTTCAATTTTATCCAAGAATACTAAGTTAGAGCTGAAAGAAGTATTCCATACGACTTAATAATACTTCTAAATGATTATATGTAATCTGGCTATCAATTATAGCCAGCAATAAACTAATGTAATTAGTAAAAAAATGTAAAACTAACTCTGTTAACTAATGTAATAATTCAGATATACACATCAAGATGGCTATATTTAATTGCACTACTTGGTATTAATTAAGTAATTAGCAAATTTTTTGCGAATTTTGATTTGCGAGCTTTTTAAATAAAATAAGTTAATGAAAATAACACATATCCTTTTTAACAGTAATTTTATTTCGGTATTAGTGTATTTAATACACTTCATATTAATAAACTTTCGCAAAATAACATTTTTAACAAATGTTCATGAGCGAAATATTGTCGGTAGTAGATTTTTTAAAAAATGCCTTAAAGAATATATTAAAACAATTTCAGAGAACTCTCACCATACGGTCAAAAGCACTGGCAAGGTCAATTTTCAAGAACTTTTGATGTTTATGCCAAACTTTGGAAATTCCAACAACAGAAAAGATCAACACTTGATTTAAAATATGGTCTTAAACGTTGGCAGATTGGCGAAATTGCCTCAAAAATCGGACAACTCTATTATCACTTCTAGTAAATATTTATTTATTATAAATAATAAATAATAGTATTTTTCCACTATCACTTTATGAGCAGAATAATAAAACTATTAAATTCTAGTCTCAGGACAAGTGAAACAGCTTATTTGGTGGAAGCATATTCCTTTTATTCTGCCATAAGAGGAAGACGCTACTACACTCTAGCAATCAAAGAAAATAAATGTGAATTAATGGTGAAGAAACTTCGATTCTATGCCAGATTCATCGTCGTCGCTATTCTTCTTCAACTGCCGAACGTCATAGAAGAATTGTTAATAGAACTGGAAAAGCAGGTCATAGCGTATGGCAAAACTTATGATCCAAATGATCAACTCGAGTGGAGCAAAGTTTTAGAAGAGGTGAGGGCTTTCCTGGTGGCCGAACCTGGTGTGACGATCTTGGATCCCGACGACAAGGATAAAATAGTAACAGTCAAGTAAGTAGGATAAATAGGATACTGAATTAAAAGGAATAACTGTAAAGTAAACTCAGAAAAAACATATACATTTTAGTCGAACTCTGTTCAAAAGGTATCGCTATTTTACTTTCTACAACAAAAGATGTTTTTACTTGAATATTTAGTTTCTTAGAAAGTATACCCCACCACGTAATACAGGTTACAATGCTGCCATCCTTTTTCTCATTTCTCAAAGCACTACAAATGTGTTTTAGGTTAATTTTCTCCCAAGAATCGATTTTTAACATTTCTTCTCATTTTTTTTAACTTGAATCTAATGGCTGTAGAATGCATGGGTTTAATCTTCATCCCATAAAAATAAATCGATGACTTGTCATAATTTTGTACTACACATAAATGTTTTATCACGTCAGATTTACCTACCACTACCAACATTTGCAAAGGGTATTTCAAATTTAAATTTGTTGTTTATGATTAATGTTAATTCTGGACAGACTCAAACTTATAGCAGGTGGTAGAACCTAGCTGTGGTCAAATTACTACAGCTCGAACATGGGCTGGCTCAACCGGGGAAATACCACCCTCCCGCAGAAGGTCGGCGTGAAGTAATCCTTAGCCTAGTGGAAGAGCCGGTTGCCATTTTCCCTTGCCTCACCCTTTCCTTCCCTTTCCCTTTTCCAACGCTTTCCTTCCCCTCTTCCAAATCAAAGGTATCTACGCATCAACAACACTATGTTGCGGATGTTCATGGGCGACGGTACTACCTCCATCAGATAGGGAGTCTGCCCGTTTGCCCCCTTTGTTATAAAAAAAACTCAAGTCTTTTAGTAGGTGGTAAAGAGATTAAACTATTATACTTCTCGGTAACACTTTAAAAAAGGCGAGTCAAAATACGTACAATGAGATAGCTATCAAAGTTAAACCAAATATTCAGTACTAAATTTTTCAGTTTAGGATTAGGTTCACTACGTCATAAAAAATCGGATATATGGATTTTCTAAATTTGCGATTCTTTTTGAACAGACTACGCATATAGGTTTTAAATTTTTTTTTAACAATTTTACAACATAGTCATCAATAAACTAATTTCAATAACTAACAATAATAATTTATATTTCTGCATTTTTTAAATAATTGAAATTATAGACAAACATGTATTTTTCTACAGTGGTCGTATTAATCCGTTGAGCATACCGCCGATAGAGAGAACAGCACAAATGAACCTGATACTCAGAGACGCTATTATTATCGGTAGCGGAACTCAACTGGTCAAGTTCTCAGAGCTGACTATAGACATGTTCAGGATGGTTCAAGTTCTCGAGTTCGAAATAACCGTCCCCATAAGAGATCCGTCGAACAATTCACCAAATCCAGATGGGAAACATGCCCCACCACCGCCGCCACCCCCACCACCACCTCCAATCAGTAAATATATGCTTTAATTTTATTTCATTTAATTAACTACTAGCTGCGCCCCGCGGTATTACCCGCGGATTTCCAGTATTTTCGGGATTTCCGGGATGTAAAGTAGCCTATATGTTATTCGTGGACGTCAGCTTCCTGTATACAAAATTTTATCAAAATCGGTTCAGCCGTTTGAGCGTGAGGAAGTAACAAACATACACACACACTAACTTTCGCAATTATAATATTAGTAGAATTGCGAATTCTTCTTAATTAAAACTAAGCGTCGATTTAATGTTGCGTTTTTATAAACTATAACATTTACCTATTCTATTATGGTATTTATGTTATTTTTTCTGATTTAATAAAAACTACAAAATAAAAGCTTGCTGAGAATTTTAGTACTTCAACAAGTATGAAAATTCTTAAGACAAGAATATTAAAGACAAAATGAAGAAGGCAGCAAGAATAACTTAACTTTGTTTTTCTATTACTAGGAACAGAATATTATAAATATATATAAATTAAAAGGTCTTATGTACTGAAACGAGTACAAAATAATAATTATTATTTTGGTTCCTCAATAGGATGAATGGATTGGAATTTTTAATATGAATATTGCCCTTTTGCTATTTAAAATTTATTTTACCAGAAACATCGTTATTTGTTTGTTATTGCAAATAAATAAAAGTTTTTCCGGTTAACACAATGGGTTTATTATCAAAAATACTAGAAGTATTTATAAATTAATTTGTAATCATGTAAAATAGCAAGGATTTTTTTCTTTAGGCATATTTGACGGTAGCCACGATCAAGAGGGTACTGCGAACCCTCATAAATTTCTGCTATTCAAGCCGTCTCCCAGCCAGGCTTTAATATACTTAGCAAGCAGCTGCAATGATCTGCCACCGAATGGAGCCTTGCTTCTGTATGTGTCAGCTCACGGCCATGCTCAACAATCAAAGCATGCAGAAAATTGTACGTAAAATATATCAAGGGAATTTCAGCCTAATGGATTTAAGATTTAATTTCCACATTGCTATAACATGTATTGCAACATTTTAGATGCATACGATCTCGGTGGATTGATAACAACGTCCAAATCAGACGTTTACAATGAAGACAGGGATGTGATGTTAAAGCATAGGGATCCACAAATCTTGTATCCCGGTGACTTGCAACCATATACAAGGAAACCGCTCTTTGTTATCGTTGACTCTGATAATTCATTTGCTTTCCAACATATTCCAAGGGCATTCGGTCAACCGATGGTTGTACTTATGTCACCCATAAGTCTGCCCAGCAGTCTCTCTGGTAAGTAAAACTAAACAGCATTATTTGTCATATATGATTTGATTTTAAACTCAATTTCTAAATACTTTTATTTCCTCTAGATCGTAGTGAGCAAGGAAATTTGTTCACACTCTTTCTACACAACCCAATTGCTGGTTTGTGCAACGCTTGCGACGTATTTACCATAACTGTCGATATATGGGATCATTGCGTCCGTCTGAGGGACATATTCATGAGGGATGTTACACGATTGATTACTAGGATTCGTCTAGGTAAAAATCATATTTATATGAAAATTAATTAATAATCATTGGTTCTATAATATTAATAAATACATTCCGATGAGTTGCGTGGTTATTGAAAATATAACTGCTTATTTTTTTTAGATCCGATGCACTATGCATTCATCGGCGATGAATTTTTGCGGCTCATATTTCTGCGGTACATATTCTGCGAGTGCACACTGCGAATGCACCGCGCTTTCCGCTCGCGCAATAACCTGCCACGAGCCCTACCACCTGTACCCGACGACCTATTTGAACATAAAGATTTGATATCCATTATCCTTGAAATGGCAGACTGTATTGGAGTAAGTTTAAATTAATTCAAATAAAAATATCGATTTCAATTTTATTTTTACTTAAAAAATATGTATGTACAATTGCAAGTGATGGTGAGAATTCAAAATTTTTTTTTTTTTCAGGTCAGAAGCCACTTTTACGATTCAACAAAATCTGATTACGATTAAAAACATCAGTAAAATCAGATTCATGTATAAAATTAAATTCTTTCTATTATTATATCTTTTTAATAAAATTAATGTTAGGCTTCAACAATAAAAGCCATTATATTTATATCGTTCGTATCTTTAAAACTATGATAACCATGTGTGTATTGCATGAAGTGTATGAAGTTGTCCTCGATTCACGGTACTTGTTCCTTGGAGACAACATTTTACAATTTAATCACACATACATATGTAATGTTAGTTCTATATTTAAAATGAGGCCAAAAGCACTGGGCCGTTAAATATGCTGTTATTTCACTTAACCTTACTATAAAATAAGTCAACGTATTTTCCGACATATTCCTTGGTGTACTGGAATCAAAAAAATATATGCTAAATATATCATGTAAGTTTTCGGCTCTTTATAGATTTTACAATATAAGTGTTATGTACGTTCTATGATAACAATTGATGTTTTAAATTAAGGTATACTTATATCTTTTTCTCAATTTAGAAGATTATACTAAGTCAAGCTCGAACCACATATGAAGTCTTGAAGTAAATGAAGACGCAACTCAGCCGATTGATGAAGAAGCAAATGCGCCTGAAATTTTCTCTCCTTGTCCACTAACTTAATAGTTAAACTCTTAAGTAGTTAAATAAGTAATTCCATAGGTGTAATTAAGACGAAACTTTGTAGTTATACATACTACAATATTCGCATTATATTGTGTACAAAATAAATTCATACGTATATTCTTACCTAAAGATATTTAATTAACGTTAATGAACTTCACATATAAAATCTATTTACTTAATATGTTCGTATTTTAATCGAAGAAATATATACATTAATAAATGTTACAGATCACTAAAGATTATTTAAATTCACGAAATATATATTTTAAATCAAAAACGCACATACCTATATATGATATTTTTATTTATATATATTATAAATACTATTCACATACATACTTATTTATTTATTTATTAGAATATATCATCCATTGATAGTTATATATTATAGAAATGAGATAATTACTGTATACATGTTAATCATTGTTTCCTAATATTAATTAAATAATAATTAATTGTTGATACAACATGTTTAATTGATGGTAAAATTGTACCTTCTTAAAAGTAGTATCTTATTAGTAATAAGAATATTTGTGAAATGCCAAAAATGGCAGGCCATACTTGTGGAGATTGTCTCCGTAATGAAAATATGTAGTATTTGCACTTTTCATAATCTACGTAGTTACGAAAATAAATGAAATATATTTTCCTTTTCACATAAATATTTTTCTCAATAAATAGATGAGTACATTAATTGTAATGGTTAAATATGTGTTTTTTCTCATGTGAAAATATATGTAGCGATTATATTACGATAATACAGCTTACTGTTAGTGTAACTTGATTAATATTGCATATAGACTATGAATGTTTCCTTTTTCAATAGTATTTCTTAAAAATATTTCTTGAAGATTGCGTTCTTGATGTGCTTAAAGAAGCTCTTAATGTCAGTTAAAGAATTTTGTAATGTCGTGAATATACGTGTAAAACTTCTCAATAGCTTTTATGTGGATCCAAAAAAAAAACATGTTTTAAAATATTATTATGAAAACCAAAAAAAAAACATTTTTTCAACAGGAATATTGCATATAGACTATGAATGTTTCCTTTTTCAATAGTATTTCTTAAAAATATTTCTTGAAGATTGCGTTCTTGATGTTCTTAAAGAAGCACTTGATGTCAGTTAAAGAATTTTGTAATGTCGTTAATATACGTGTAAAACTTCTCAATAGCTTTTATGTGGATCCGAAAAAAAAACATGTTTTAAAATATTATTATGAAAAACAAAAAAAAACATTTTTATCAACACGAAATATAATCCGACTTTGTGTATGTAGTTTCAAAATTGTATTCTATATTAATGTCATGGATGTATAACAAAAGTAGAACTTCAAATATATTCGATAAAAAAATCGGTCTTTTATTTATGTACCTTAAATAACAAAAAATAGCTTTATTCTACACTAGCTGTGCCAGCGACTTGGTTGCGTTGTTTTGGTCATCATATATATTTTTGCAAACAACCTTAGGTTTATAAATTATAGCTATCAATTTCTGTTATTATTGTAGACAATTTATTTTAAAGTGCTTCTGAGCCGCGTGGCATGGTACCTCGTAGATTAGTAATGAATTAATTTTGACCAAATTTGATAACCATAAAAACGGTTCTAATGAGATAATCTTTAAAGATTAACATATATTGTTGTGTTGTTTGTCAAGAGGAATAATTTTTTCATACATTTTTTTTGTTATCCTAAACCATTTTTGCAGTGCACGCAACGGGAGTCCTTAATAATTTTCCTCGTTTTTTTTAACATTTTCAATTTTTTCTTCGCTCCTATTTCTCACAGACTGATATTATATAGTCTACAGCCTTCCTCAATAAATGGTCTATTCAACCCAAAATGAATTTTTCAATTCGTACCAGTAGTTCCTGAGATTTAAACATACAAACATACTCTACAGCTGTATAATATTAATAAAATATAGACAAAAAAAACAGTACCATTTATAAAGTAATATTTAAAGCGTTTTTTATTTTTTAAAAAGTTTAAAACAAGCTTTCAATTCTTCGTTAAATGTCTTAATGTTAATGTAAAAACAATGTTATTCGAATAAGAGTATTATAAAATTATAAAGAATCAATGAAACGCATTTCGACTTATCTCTACAGATAAAGGCTAGACATGTTACAGCCCTATTACATTTGCCTTAAAAAGCATGAGCGTCAGAACTGATTCACAGGATTAAGGATTCACGATATTCGGAAGGTAATACCTGAAACAGTATCGGACACAATAAGAAACAACAAAAACTATCCTCTGAAAATAAAATCTAGATGTGTTTCTCCATGCATTATTATTAAAACTGAATCAAGTTTTAAAAATCATTCACATAAATTTTCATAAAATAAGTCAGTCAAAGAAATATTTAATTAATTAACATACTACAATAATTACTTTTTAGCTAAAGGTCACAAGGTTTCGAATCCTACTCATATTATAAAAGCAAAAGTTGGGGAACACGTTTCTACTATATATTATGTAATACCCTCACGCGTAAAATGCACATCCAGCCTTCAATACATCTCTTTACAGTAATTAAATAAAGAACATAAGCCCTAATTGTAACATCAGATTTATCCTGACAGAGGCTCTAATTTATCTCGGACTTCCATTTACTCACGGCGAAAAGCAGTATTTTCCAATAATTCAGTAGAGTCCAGTTGCAAATTATATTGTTTTAATACATTTCACGTTTTCTCTTCGAACCTTATTCCTAAGTCGCAACATATTTGTACAGATAAATATATGCTATAACCGTCTAATATCTCACTTTACATATACATATGACGAACTTATTTTATTCAGATTTTCTTGGAAAGTGACAAAAACCTAAAAAAGTTTTTGTTCGACCACATTCTTTCATAATTTAATGATAATAATTATAAAGAGACCCTTGTTATAAATATGAGAATAAGTCGATTGAGACAAATATTATAAATGAATTGATCTAACTTAAATAAAAGTGAAACCTTGATTATTCATTAAGTAAAATAAATACATTTCTCATTGTATTTGGTATAAAGAGATATTTATTGAAACTGAATATATGACATTATAGATTGTGTATAAACCTCTACTTTTATCTCATTTGTAAATAAAAACCCCTTATTATTTACATATATTACTAGTTTCAGTACTTGTCCAATGAGTCTTTTCTCTCACTATTACTCTTTACCCTCATCTTTTGTCTGCCTTCTGTTCTACCTCAAAACCATTGCGCTCAATTAAAACTGACATTTGTCATGAAACGAATTTGATAAGTAGGCTTAAAAATAAAGTATATTGTATTCATGAGATGAAACATCACATCATTCCATCGATTCACCGCGCGGGTGCAGGCTTATGATTGCAGGAAAAGGAGCTTTAACAGTTCCCGGGACTTGCGACCCAGGAATAGGTCTGAGTGTTTAGTATTTAACGAGTTCCAAGAACGAATTAATGTTGTTTTAGGACAGGCCCAAATCTTTTAGTAGTTAGTAGGAAGATTAAGCAGTTACACCTCTCGCTCCCACTTCTAACACGTACAAATTTACAACGAACCTACTCTTGGTCGTCGTTTAAAAAGCTAGTTACTATTCCTCGTAAGGATGGAGTATGACCTATATTTTCTATCTAACGACCGAAAAAATTAAATGGAGCATTTCCCATAACCGTGGCAGCACAATGACAACGATAATCCCGGATCGTATGAATATATCTCGTATTCCACCAACTGAGACACAGACAGTGAGATTTTGTCCTAAATCCGAATGGATGGGCCGATGGCCACTCACAAAACTTATCCACTTCATCCAATAGTACTTGACAGAGTTTAGGGTTATCGTATTGCAAGATCTTCAGCGAATGCTAAAATGGATTCTGTGTATTCATTATTAAACTTGAACCGATATCAATATTTCAAAAAAAAAATCCCAATAATCCCTATTATAAAATAGAACTTAAAAAAAAAAACAAAACTATTTTGTATGTTGGAAATTGTAAACAGAAACTATTTTAAATAAAATACTATGTACTTGAAAAATAGTATTGCAAATAAAAGTATATGTAAATGTAAAAATCAAGTATATGATATGTTTAAATAATATAATTTAAATACTAAGAGCCTTTTCGTCTCAGAAAAACAATGACTTCTTCAGGTAAATAAAATTTTTAATCAACGTGGTATTGTGGGACCCACAAATGTACATATGTATATGTAAGTAGTTGCATATATCAAAATGTTAGAAAGAAACGAGCTCGAACAAAGGAATAAACGCTCACATACCTCATCAGTGAATTAGCATTAACCTGAGGCCCATAGTCAAATACATTATGATGTTAAAATGAAAATTCAATAAATTATTTAAAAAATAATTAATTACTAAGATAATAATTAATTTATTATTAAGATTATTGTCGAAATTGTAATGTGAAGTCCCATTACAATTTTAAGAGTGGTAGTTTTATGCAAAAATTCATTCCGAAGTAATATTAAATTTAACTTTTAAAATGGTAGCATTTCGAGTATTCATTTCAAGATAATCTATTCGTGGTTTAGATAAGATATATAATATATATATTTTTTTTTATTTTGATAATGTAGTTATACTGTTTATTCATATCGTTTAAGTTTACTAATGAAGTATTTTTATACTTTAATTCATATTGAACGGTGAAATGTCTCAATAATAAGGTTTTATATAGAAAAGATAGTTTTTTAATCACGATAAACATTGTTTTATACATTTTCAACTGTGACATCAAAAGCCTTAAATATCTAAGGGACAAGTAAAGCGCTAAGTTAAAAAAGAACTCCCTGTTTAGAAAGGTTTTTTAATATTACAAATGCAAGTCCTATATTCTTGTGTAGCAGAATCTAGTTCTTGTAAAAATATTCTGACGTTTCCGTTCGTTGCCAAAAATATCATTGGCTTGATAACAAGGCTTGATACTTGCATATGAATCGATCGTTCCTCGCTGGTATATTATAACTAAATATTATACACAAGAAAATTAACAGCTGATTTCAAATAGGCGAAACCATTATAAGCAAATGAAAAGTGCATTATAAATCAATTACTTAGTTGTCAAGTTAATTAGAATCACAGCTCAAATATATGTCATGACACACTCAAATGTATAAATAATGTATGTTTTGGAATTATAAATGCTAGTAAAATAAAATAAACTAGAGTCGACTGTTAAGATAAAAGTTATAGTAATTAAATAAAAGTCTTTTTTAATTTCAACAAACTCCTTCGTGTTTCTTCCACACAATACTCAAAATTCTAAAAACAAATAAAAACGTTGACATTGGCAAAATATTCCACAATTAAAGTACGAGTGAAGCCTTAACGTAAAGAAAATTTTAAAAACTGAAGGAATGTTTTCATGTACTGCCTAAAAATGCATGTAAATTTACCAACATCAATATGTAATAGGAGATTTTTTATATCTCCTTTATTTTTCTTTTACTATTATGTTTGTATAGATGACCCATAAATAATTTGTAAAGTCAGTTTATTATTTATATAATTCTTAAAAGTTATCCTTTCTAATTATTCTTTGAATTTATATATAAGTGGGTGTTCTAGGAAAATAAAAATACAGTAATTACATTGGAACGACATTGTTTTTTTTTGTAAATACCCAATTAGTAAACATTCCTACTGTGAATTTATCTTGCTGTTATTAATTAAAATATAAAACAAGTTAAAAATTACTCTTATATTGTTTCATTATGATATTTAGTTTTTCTTTTCTCACTTCTACATAATCTTCTGACAGTGCTTATCTACGCGTGGTCTACTGGTATAAACAATTTAAACAAAATAATAAATAATGAATAATTACAATAAATATCAAAAATATAAGGCAAAGACATCTTCATCTGGATTTTTTTTATTCAATTTCTATATGTTTGCCTTCACCGATGACGTGAAATGGTTACTAAAAATAAATTCATGCTCGATCTTATATTTAGCACATTTGCTCGGACAACGAGAAGCCGACCAGTTGAAAAGTGATTTGAAACCGATCAGAGATCGTTTGATTAGAAAAATAACAAGAATTAATAGAAATATACAACTGAATACAGTGAAATGGACTAACAAGGAATAATAAAGCAAGGATGTGCGTAAAATTGTTTGAGCACCTAAGGTAATAACGCAAGATTTTACGAAAATTATATTTAACGCAGTGATCGTTATATACAACATAATCACACCTATTTTCACACTAGCCCACGCAAAAACATCTTGTTTTAGTAGCAGTCACTTGCCTTGGAACGAAATGTTGTGTTTTTAGTTTGACGGTGATTTTATCAAACAGTCTAGGTGAAAATAGGAGTTATATCAAAATAATGGAACTGTGGACGTTACCTCAAATGTTTTGATAGATTATAAATTGTATACTTGTATTCAGATATTTAATAAATAGTTATAAATAAAACATATGGAATCTCAATTGTCACCAGATGAGAATAAAAATTCTCCATTGCCTCTTTTAACACATGAATGGGAAGATTTAAGAAAAGCTCGTGAGGCAGGCGGTTATCCTTGGACTCACCTTTTGAAAGCACCTTTAGAAGGAGAAATTACTGCAGAAGACATTATCAGATCTACTACTCCAAGAAGAAGCATGTCTCGAGAATTTTCTAAATCTCGAACTCATTCACCAGTTGATCAAACTGTCCAAAAAATTCTTAATCTTGACTCATCACCAGGCAGTAGCAGAAAACATGGCGAAGAAGGAGAAGATGAAGGAGTGCATATACCAAATTTTTCAAAAGAAATTTCATTGGACTCAGATGAAGATGTTGTAAACCAAGCAATGGCTACAAAACAGTTAGAGAACCAAAATAGTCAACATTTGATATCGCCACCAACAGAAATTCCAAAAAACGTCTCACCAAAAAGTATTCTTAAAAGAAGAACACCAGAACAACAATACTTTGGGAGTACTGAGACACGTGAAAAAACAAAATGTTGTCACCCCCTAGTTAATAAACTTAAACACTTGGCTGATAAAACGTTACACAAGTTAGAAAGAAACGATCATGAAAAATCTCCCCAAACAAAGAGAAAAAAGGCTGAAGAGCCTCAAGAAATAAGACAACTCAAAAACTCTCCTAGTGCTATTCGAAGACAAAAATTTAGTGCTATAAAATTAGGGGACTCAGACGAAATGAGCAAAAATATGAGCCTAGATACCCCAACGTCTATGAAAAAAAAGGAACACATATATGAAGATATAGAAGAATCAAAAGAGTTTGATAGTGTAAAATCACTACAGGATCCTCCAGATTTGGATAACGATGAGTTAAAAACAAATTCAAATAAAGAAAACGACAGCCTTCAAGAAAAAAAGTCGAATACATCTCAGGATCCTAGTTTAATAATTGAAGACAATGCTTCACTTGGCGCTAATGAACATGTCATGGAGAAACTTCACCAGAGGAGTAGTATTAGTAAAGAAGCTATAATGTTAGACGAAGAAAGAGTTCCAGGAGAGTCAAACACAGAAGAAATGTACAAATCTGAAAACGATATGAGAAAAAACAATGAATCTCCAAATATTACGATTACAGAAATAAATGATGACGACATCACCATAGAACCGTCTTCTTCAATACCTATAGAAACATCTCCAAGTCCCAGTCCTCGTGTTATTGATAGTAAACAAGACTTCATGGATTCAGACTGGTCTAGACCCAACAGGTAAATATTAAAACTTTTTTTTAATCCACTACAATACGGAACAATGACATAATAGTCCAGTCATTTAAGCTTAAATTAGGTAAGAATCTCGGAATTCGAGATACCCAGCTGTAAGTCTGTAAATAGTTGTATATTGACACCCTAAAAGTTGTCTCAAAACCTACATATGGTAGGGTGTAAGCAACTATTAAATTTCATGGTCAAAGGTCATAAAAATCGGTTTTTTGCGCTTTTTTTGGAAATATATCATTTCCTATGGGTTTTTTGCTATTTGTATTTTTTATCAATATTGTAGAATACTAAATTCTCTACAAATTTTGTTTCAAAAGATTTTTTATACGGTGTACCGTTTTCGAGATAGAGGGCGGAGAGCGCGCGGTCACCGCATCACTTCAGGTCAACCGGTACCTCCGGTCGAAAACGCGCCAAATATAGTTGATGAACTATCAATAAATCAATGATTATAAATATTTGTCAATTTTTATTAACTATTATATTATATTTTATCATTTTTTTCCTGACTTATCCACTTTTTATTCAGTATTAATTTATTTAACAACACTTACCTGTCCATGTAATTGCAGAATTGTTAATGAGAATATAAGAATTATATTTGAACTTTAACCTAATTAATATTAATAACTTCTTACATTATGACAAAAAAAAACAAATAAATTATGAATTAATCTTTTTATTGAAAAATATCATTGAATAAATTATTTTTTATTGAAAGTAAAAAAATGGAATAAAGGGTACAAAAACTACAATTTATAATTTTAAGCATCTTCTTCCTCTTCATCGTCGTCTTCTGGCTGCTGGTAAATTTCAAACTGGTCTTCATTATCGTCTTCAACGACATCTGTCTCAAGTTCTTCCATGATTTCGGGATCAAAGGTTCCATCTTCGTTAATGTCGCTCTGATATGGTTGAGCATTGAGACAAGCTTGCCCATTACATTGGCCACAAGCTAAAGAGCATTGCAAGCCCGCTTTCCTGCATCCGCATCGCGAACCACAACCACTTTTGCAGTTGCGGAAAATTGTATTTAGCAAATTTTCTGGAGCAGGTGGTAAAATTGTCATGATAGGCTTCAGAAAATCATTTCGCATTGCCCAACCCCATACCTGGGGTTCCAAATCATGTCCTAACCAAGTTTGAACTTGATAATATACACGGTTGAAATGTTGATGAGCAGCTGCACTTGTTGGTGGAATATTTGAAAGCTGCACAGGTTTATTAAGTTTTGTAGACTTGACGAAATGCGTATAACGACGATGATCGAGACTTTTCACAGATTTCGGAGCATTATAGACTGCCAATAAGGTTTGAATAGATATAGATTTAATGCATGAAGAAAATGATAAAATATAATATAATAGTTAATAAAAATTGACAAATATTTATAATCATTGATTTATTGATAGTTCATCAACTATATATGGCGCGTTTTCGACCGGAGGTACCGGTTGACCTGAAGTGATGCGGTGACCGCGCGCTCTCCGCCCTCTATCTCGAAAACGGTACACCGTATAAAAAAAATTTTTGAAACAAAATTTGTAGAGAATTTAGTATTCTACAATATTGATAATAAATACAAATAGCAAAAAACCCATAGGAAATGAGATATTTCCAAAAAAAGCGCAAAAAAACGATTTTTGTGACCTTTGACCATGAAATTTAATAGTTGCTTACACCCTACCATATGTAGGTTTTGAGACAACTTTTAGGGTGTCAATATACAACTATTTACAGACTTACAGCTGGGTATCTCGCATTCCGAGGTGAACTTACTATAATGACTGGACTATAATAGTTTTGTAACAAATGCTAAGCGAACGCGTATCTTAAATATATGCCTGATAAATATAGATCTGTACCATACGTCTTCCTGCACGTTAGGTAAGCTCTTTAAAATTGTCATCAGTGATCAGTGCTCGCGGTTGCTTTCACACAGCTGATTAGTTCGTTTATTTGCCTTATTTTCAATAACTCATAGTTTTCCTAGTCATATGTTATTACTTAAAAATATACATTAGTATGCCTTAAATGAAAGGCCCATTTTGACAAGCTCTCAGTTATGAGTAAGCTCCGTCGGTGGACTTCTGAAGGTGGGACTCCTATAGAAAAACCTTTAAGGCCTACTAGAGAAGGCAGTGTTCAATTATATACACCAGAAGTACGTTGTGCATGTCAGTTTTTCCAATGTGATTCCCTATTACCGGAAAGAATAAATCCCGTGGGCACTAGACCAACTTCTCGAGCTAGTAATATTATTCAAAATATCAGGTAAGTTATGTTACCGTGACTCAATAAAATAGAAATAGTCTAAAATAATATCTTGCAAATAATTCTAACTATTAAATAATTTTGCCCGGAGACCGCTGTGGCTAAAACGAGCGCTAGCCGTTGGCCTAATTGTAACTTTTGAAACATGTGTGAGTGTATTTAAATATAAACTGAAATTATGCAAAGCGTCTTTATTTTTGCGATTTATTTCATTTTATTTTTCACTTTGTACAAAGGCTCAGCGAAAACAAGTATTTTATCTATTTTCCAACATTGCGACGTTAATTTACTAAGATGTTAAGTGTTACAATTTAACTTTTTTTTCAGTGATCACGAATACGAAATTATAGAAAAACCTCCCCCAAATATAATTTATACGGCACCAAGTATCGACGATAAACCCAACATGGTGGTAACGGACGATGATGAACTATCAAGTGTCACATCACTGGAAAAAAAATACCTTCATCATACATCCGACGAGGATGAGCCAATGGAGCATAAGGAAGAACCTAATGGAGAAAAAGATGAAAATATTTCAAACGCTGAAGCATTACAAAAAGACATTGAAGAACGTTTCTTTGTTAATACTCCCTCAACAACATCTAGAACGGAATGTGAAGTAAGTACCAGTCAAGTAGATTCTTCGGCATTGGAAAATTTACCCTTAAAGAGAAGCAGTAGAAATAAAAATTCCGAAGGAATTGAGTCGAAAATACAGCAGCGTATAAAAGAAGGTACGGGTAAACTAAAAAGTCAAGCTGGTAAATTAAAAACCAAATTAAATAATATAAAAAACAAACAAATACATTTTCCTGAAAGATCAAAAACAAAATTACAAGAACGACCAAAGCCTTCTAACGCTGATCGCTCGAAATCAACGTTACCAGAAAAACGAAAGTTTAGTTTGCCTGACAGACCAAAATTTAAAAAGATTAATTTTTCTGAAAAATTATCGTTTGGTGATCGGAAGAAATTCAGCTTTCCGGATCGTCCCAAATTTAATATGCCTGATCTACCCAAGTTTAAAATGCCTGAGAGACCTAAAATAAACTTCCCAAGTCTTGGTAGAAAAAGAGGGGACATAAATAAATCTGAATCTTCAACAGATTTACAAAATGTCTCCGTAGAGTTTGAAGCTAAAACATATCCGAGACTTTTTAATAGAAAGAAACAATATATTCCCAAAACCTCATCTTCCCCGACGCTTAACAGAGAAGACACCCCACCAGCAACATTTACTTTTACTAGAGTAAAAAAGGCAACAGATAACCAAGAACCGTCACATCATATCCCAGATAGTCCAGAAGAACCCCGAGAATACGGTAGTTTAGATAAAGAGTGCGATTATAACGATGACTACAAAATGGAAAGCAGACAAAACTTTTGTACTACATACGACTTTGATAAAGTCGATCAAGTAGATCAAGAATTTACAGATGAAACGAATAGTCATGATGAGTTAAGAATACAAGTTTCCGAATCAGATTTATCACCGCCACTACAAGAAAACACACATATAAACGAATTAAACAATGACGAATTTTTTGTACGACCGAGAGGTATTTCTCGTGAAAATATACAAGTTAGAGAATACTTAAGCGATGAAATACGACAAGCATTTAAAATTCCCAAAAACGTGCTCGCTGATATGTCCAACGATGACCAATTTAATAACAAAAATGTATATGCTAACGATCCAGAAGACCACGATTTAGCATTAGATAGCCAGCCTGTAAATTATTCCACTGAAGATATAAACGATAGAGATGATGGTTATTACACATTCCCGCCTGTACGACCCTCAAGAGCAAAACGAAAGAAGAAGGATGCTGAATCAATTAAATATATAGATGACAGTATAAATGCAAGCATGCAATTTAGTGAAGTTGATTTAGGTTTATCGGAAGATCAATTGAATAAACAAATTAATACACACACTGCTAACAGTGATGTTGATATAAGTAAATCAATTCAAGATTTAGATCTAAGGCCTACTACTGATCTTCATTCTATCCATGAATACGCCAATGATGATGTAATAGAATATCCTGATAGTATTCCAATCCAATCTCAAACCTTACCAATGCCACCACGAAGGAAGAAAAAGTCTTATAAACCTAGCGTTAGAAATACTTCTTTAAATGATGTGAACATGTACCCAGCTCAGAGATGGCAATCAAAACACGATGGATGCGATGATGTAAGTATGAGTATATTTTGATACGGCCTAAGAACATTAAAAATATAAATTATTTTGAACTAAAAAATAATAATTATTTTAATATAAGCCAATTTTTTATACATATATAAAAAGAACTAAATAAATGTTCGGTTATACTTTCTCACTTTATAACAAAATCTTAATTAACATTTCTTAGTATCTCAATCTCTTTTAATTTTGTATAATCTGAATTCATAATGTGAAAAGAATAAAATAAAATTTTATTATTACGGCTTAAACTCATTGCAAACAAGATATTGGCAGAAGTCCAATGTACAGCGCAAGACAAATCTTTGAATTGTATTTTTGGATGCCCTCCACATCTGATTGTTGACCTAGTTAAAAGTGAAATTTATACTTATATACTGAATGAAGTAGGGACAACTGTCATTATTTTTTGTTGATTCTGATGTATGATTTGGCACTGCTCATATTTATTTTAGCTTCATCAAAAAAAATATGAGAAATTATATAAATATCTTATATAACTTACCACAATATATATGTACATATTCTATTTTCTTTAATTAAAAATTTAGATCAGAGTTCTGAAAAGTTTTGATCCTGTTTTATATTTTTACATCTGACAAATATTTTTCAAATCAATCTCGGACTTAGCAAGTATGAGCATAAGTCCCAGAATTGATTTAAAAAATGTCTTTATAGTAATTTGAGATGTTTTGATTTGAGGTAACATCTATTTAAAGTAATGGCTAACCTACGAAGTTAAACTTTATTTAAAAAAAATCAGTTTGAACCTAAAATTTTTGCGTCATAAGAGAGAAGCTACAAAATTATTATGAAAACAATGATAACATTTATGTTTCCTTACATATTTATGGTGTAAAATTACTGTATTTAAAGTATAAACAATACGTTTCAGATTATCGTCTACAGAACAGAACACGAGTACATTGTTCCACAAGCCGAACTATCCCAAGGTGATGTAACAGAACAAAGTCCATTACCACCAAGGAGAAATCGATCCAGAAGTTCAAGGACCACTTCTGTATGTGATGATGACCGTACATCACATGGTGCGGAATCGCTTATTCTCGATGCTCATATTTCAACGGCTGACAACGCTATATCCGAAAGTGATATTCAGCGCGAAAGTCCAGGCTATGCAACTGTTGATAAAGGTAATTTTACGCCAAGTAAAGGTGCTAGACGGTCATTAAGCAAAACTCCACCAGCAAGACGCCGTAAGAGTAATAGTTCTGAAAGAAAATATTACACAGTCTCTAGTCAGAAAAGCAGAATGCCAGATCGACCTCCGAGAAAAAAATCATCTACGAGTCTTATGACCCTCGATAGCTTCACAAAAGAATCTATAAATGGTGATCAGACTCAATACATTGAAATAGACAGAACAAAAATGGAGGATTCTCACAAAGACCTAAAATCTGGGGCAATAGTAAGTAAAATGAAAGATAGACCACTGCCTCCTCCTCCTCGTCCTCCCAGAGGACCAAAGCGTAAAAAACCGTCGGAAGAGGAAGAAAGCCAAAAATCAGCATTAAATTTATCAGAATCTCTTGATGTAGTAGAAATTGAAGTTTCGACACAAACAGATCCTTTACCAGATGATGTTGACTTCGAATTTGGAATTGATGACAATCTTGATTTGTCTATGTCTAGTTCCCTTAGAGACATAATTGATGAAGAATCAATACTAGGAAAGATTCATGACAAGTCAATTACATTAGAGGCGGATCGCCGTAGTAGCAGGCCAGCATCAAGGTCAGAGAAGTCTCTAAAGTTATCGGATCCCAAATTAGGGGAATTTTCTAAATCAAGTCTTGGTAAAACATCCCCTACTGTTATATTAGTGGAAAAACGGGTATCAAGTCCAACAAGGATAGACGAAAAGGAGGTAATATTAACAGAAGCTTCATTGACTGTACAGCCTATTGATATTGATGATTCCCAAGTACCGGATGTTCCGCCTTTACCAAAATCTAGAGACACTTTAACCTCAACTATTAAAGATAGATCTAAGCCTGAGCCTGAAAGTGAGAAAGCTCTTGACAGAATTGCTGAAACTAACAAAGATATTTTGTTAGACAACTTAGTAACACAAAGACTTCAAGTTCGAGATTTAGACGTAGGTAGATTAAATGTTTCAGAACTTCAAGCATCAAAAATTCTTGTGTCTGATATTGAAGGCATGACTTTAAATGTTAACGAGTTAGACTCTAAGTCTGGGCATATTTCTATAACTGGAATAGAGTTCTCTCAATCTGTAATCGACGAAATTGTTAAGAAATTTACCGAAATGTCAACTTCCATTGTTCCTAACACTCAGATAGTTGACACCCAAAGTATTGAAAGGCCGATTAGTAGGGAAGAAGAAACACAAACAGATACTCCTTTACCCGATAAAAAAGAAGAAACAATTATTTCAGAAGAGATTAAAATTGACTCACTACCATCCTCAACTGCCAGAAGTAGTGAAAATATTGAGGAAATAGCTGTCCCACCACAACGACCTCCTCCTCCTGATTTGACGCCTTTATTATATTCCTACCTACAAGATCTAACGATTCCGTCATCATTACCTCATCAACAACCGATACTGCGCGAGAGGCATTACAGTGACTTTCATGAACCACAGCTTCCTTCACCACAGCCACCAACACGTCGAGCTAAAAGAAAACCAGCCGTTTTGCACAGCGAATCAAGTTCCGATGACGTAAAACCTCGACCGTCTCCCAGAAGAATGCCACCGCCAGCCAGAACGCAAGAACCAACTGTAACTGAGGCTGGTTTCCAATTCTTACGGGTATGTCAGAATTCAATAAGCAGAACGTTTAGAAATATTGTGAACACATTTATGTCTTACATAAGTGGAACACAAAATAAACATGACATGCAAGTTGCTATGGTCATATTCCTAGTGTTAATAGCTGGTTTAATAATGTTTGGACTCAGCGACAGCCGTACAATTCATCACCATCATTGGGAATTCTTTAATCCACCAGATACTAAACAATAAATATTAATACTATTATTTTATATTGTAATCATATGCCAAATATATTAAAATTTGTTTTTGAATATTGAAAAATCTTTTTAAAATAACTAAATTACTAACCAATAAAGTACTCTAACTTGATATCTATATATAGGAACCTAGTCTGTTAAAAATATATGTGTCAGCAATGTTATCTAGTTGTTTAAATGTTTTATTTGTTTGTGTAATTTCAAAAATTTATGAATTGTTAAAAGAAATTAGTTAACAGTTTTTAGACTATCGTAATGCATTTTATAAAGGACGTTTGTTTTGTAATATAAAACTTAAATAAATTCTGTTAACAAAAAACATTTTTTATTAATTCTTTTTATTACATTTAAGGTTCTGTCTTTATAATATTACATTCTTTTAAATTTCGTAGTTCATAAGAAAATTAAGAAAAACATATGTAAAAAAATTAAGAAAAACATATGTATATTTAACATAGATCAAAAATACGAGGACTTTTTACACAAAATCACGGGATATTTATCTATATCACACTCTAGACAATTCTTGGTATACAACTACGTAAAAAATATATATGCAGAAATGGCTTAATAATCATAACATATTAAAGAACCATGAGTTCCTAATAAGGGGGTGGATAGTTTTTACTTTTAGAAAAGGTCTAATCAGAAATTATCCATATAGTGAAACCGTCACGTGTTTGTCATCTCCCTATTCTATATTCTATTATCATCTTATTACACGAGACGTAACTATACTTTATGTTGTAATGTAATATATTTTTGACGAATAAAAGGCGTTTCATAAATTATTTACAAATACTCTTGGGCTAATAGGCAATAACCGGTCAGTCATGCGACCTCAAAAACATGTCTGATTGCACACCACTCCTACAATTAATGCGTACCGTTTAACATAGTTTTCGACTTTAATTTATCTAGAAAATACTAAATTACTTTTTAATTTAGAAGAATATCTTTCTAAGTAGAATTTTTATACTAAGACTTGACTTTTTCAAAATTTCAAACCTAACAATAGGAACGTTTAAGACTACACACTTGAGAAAATGCAGCATATTTTTAATATTGAGTTGGATCCAGTAAAAGGAATTTGTAAAATATCATCGAAATAAATTCTTCAGATCAATTCCGTGTAACAAAATGTCTATATTTACATTAATATAATTATAAACTAGATGACATCGTCCTTTCTTTGTATATTCCAAATTCACAGTTATAAAAAATAAAATATTTTCTAGATTTATGATTATTAATTTAGTTGCGCTAAACGCTCTCAGCGTTAGTGTTCTTTTTTAGTTAATAATTTGTTCGCTTTACCTGATTGCCAATATAAATACATATTCCAAATCTGATCGAAGTTTATGAGTGTTATTCTTGGGAAAAGAAACCTAATCAATTATTTTGGCACCAGAGTAGGAAATTTCTTATTTATTTGCTATTGGTAATATATGGTTGAAGAATTAATACATTCACCACGATACAATTTCATCTTTATCATATTTACTTCAAAATATATTTTCGAACGTTAATTCTGTTTCAAATCCTTACAAGCAAAAACAGAATTCAGTTCCACCGAAGATAGTCGGTTACAAAACATTTACTGAAAAAAATGACGTTTATATCACACTGGCGATAGATAACTTTCCCTTGTTTTCGAGTCATTCCCAGTCTAAGATTAAGTATTTCTTTCAAAATAACTTATTTTCATCTGAAATTTATAACAATTTAAAACAAAAAACTTGAACTGATTATACACAAAGTGATTTTTATAACACAATAAAACAATGGAAGTTAAGAAGATATCAACAATAAAAAAAATTTAATTAAACAAATTCATTTCGTACGTTCTTGAAATATAATTCTAAAATTTTGTGCATATCCAAATTCATTTTTAGATACTTGTAAGATATAAAAAAAGTCTCAAAAGTACATAATATTTTATAACCGATACGGTACCGTGATTTATGTTTCAATGCTCATATTATTTTCCTTAATTACTCGTATCTTGCAGCGGTATAGATTTATTAACATCAAAAATATATTCTACTTTTATTTAATATTCCGTTGCAACTCAGAAAAAAATTATGAACATTGTTGGGAATAGAATAAATTTAATCTTTGCCTTCATTTCAAATACTTAAAACTTATTGAACTTACGATACAAAAGAAAACTTCTTTATATTTAACTTCAACAGTTCTTTATAACTCACAGTTAATACTTAAAACTTCTATCAATATGACAGGTATTATACAGAACTGAATAAAAATAACACACAATAAAAATAATAATTCTAGGTCTTACAACTATATTGTAAGAGAAAAGTAGGGAAATAGTACATTAAATTAAATATTAAATTCTTTAGGACTTAAGATGACGACTAAAATTTTTATCGCACATAAATCCTGTGCTCAGTTACAGGTAATGTTATCTCTCTTATTATTCTTTTATTTAAAGATTACACAAACGTGTGGACCAGTTACAAGCGAAGTGATTAAGAAACAATATGTAAAAAACTTTTTTACTAAAATGCAATAAAAAGAAAAAATATTTTTAAATAATATACCAGAATGCTCTTAAACGATTTGCTTTTTGTATAAACAGTTTGTAGTCAGATTTAGGCCTCGGCCTCGAATTTTGCGGGCAGCGGAGCGGCGGCGGCAGCACGGGCAACGCATACCTGTTCTCCAAACTAGCGGGCAGCGGGCACCGCTGTATTCGAGGGTCGGTCCATTTGATTATACGCGTAAGATCCTGCCGCTCCCGCCGCCGCTCCGCTGCCCGTAAAATTCGAGGCAGAGGCCTTAAGTACGTTCTCGTAGAAACTCAGTTTGTTATTTATAATAGTTGAAGTTAATCACATCCAGTTTACCTTATTTAAGTAGGTACTTGTTTTCATAAACTATTAAATCTTGCAACAGCCTTTTATATAAAATAAATTATGTAATCCCATTAGAAATAGATAGTAAATAGAGGTTTTAAAGTAAAAAATATTTTCTCTATTATAAAATCTTGGTATTTTTAAGAACATGTTTCACTTGCAATTTATTTTTAGCCTTTTAGAGACACATTCTAAAAGTAATCTTTAGCAACAAACGAATCCGTTCTCAGTTCTTGAAGTGTAATGATTTGATTTGTTTGTAAAAGCGCCATCTATGATTTTATTTCTATTTCACTTAACCAGATTGTTGAAAACTTTGTGCTTTAAGTGGTGCCCTCTACATAAATACATCAGAATGATTTGATGCCCATGACATTTAAGAGAAATGAGAATTGACATCTAGACGACTGGCGGCTTCTGTAAACTGTTGTTTTCTTGCTGGAAATGGCAGCTACAATCTCAACACAGGTTGTTTAATACAAAAGTGAAAGAACAAATACATAGCATATCAATATTTAGCATTCTTTCAACATTTGTCTTTTACCTTTTTGCACTTGATTAATAAATTATTACTCTTTTAATAGCACGTAGTTTTTAAATGTTCCCTTTTGCTATCTTCTATGATATACTATTTGTTATAAGTTTGTTAAATTAGAGACATTACTTTTTAAAACACATTAATAAAATATGTGCATAATAAATAAGAAGCCTTAGGTTATAACTGGCAATATAGTTTTCATCACGCCATTAGCATAAACGATTGTTTTATTGTCACTAAGTCATTTAATAGAATGAAAATATTCTTACCTTCTCGGTATACATTTCAATACGTTGAAAAGAAGATATATATATTTTATAATATGGAACATTTTATGTACCTTTTAGTCATATAAAAATTATTATGCAGAATAAAATAAAACATATGCTCTTAACTTTTAGTAAATTGATAACGAACATCTAGACGTTAACAAGCAATTAAAAAGTGCTATAATTTGGTTCTCTAAAACTTATTTTCGACCTGAAACAAACAGCGCAACATTAGAATAAAAAAGAAATAAATGATTATTGGAAGTATTATTTGTAATAATACAATTTAAATAAATTAAAATGTTATGTGAAACTTATTTACGAAAAAGAAAAGCACGTAAAAATTGCGATAGATACATAAAAAGTCATGACAAGTCCTTAATGACCAATTTGACGTAATTTTTTATTGACAATGTTTTTTACTTTCCCGTAATTAAAACTATTATTATCACGTATTTTTGATTAATTATAACCAATTTCGAGTGTCCCACATAACTGAATGAAAGCAAAAAGCAGACAACCCAAAAAAGGTAGGTACTTTTAAGCCTCTAGAAAATAAGACACAAGTATATACACCTAAATATAAAACTTCTTTGTCGCATAAACTTGTAAAGTTTATTTTGTATCGTACCTACACCTACATTAACAACAATATATTACACTAATTGACGTAAAATATAAGTTAGAAACTGGGATATGCTTTAAAAAATGTAAACAATTCAACCACTTTATTATCAATACACATCTTCAATTAAGTTTAATGAATTAATTTTCAACGCAATTTTTTATAAATTTTGCTCAATAATTTCAGCAATTCAAGCATTATCAACTTTGCAGTAATTCACACATTACCGAAACTGAAAAAAAAACCAAGAAATATCCAAAACTATTTTTTTATTTTGCTACCTGATTATCATAGGCAAAAAATATCAAAAATATATTTCCTCGTCTATTCTTTAGTAACAAAATTAAACTCAGAATAAACGGTTGAGAAATAAAAAAACTCGAAAGTTATATGGTGTGTTTCATTACCTACCTAATCATAATAACAAAAAAATAAGATCTACAGAAATTCTCTATGAGACCAGAAGCAGAAATAAATTCTGTCAACTTTCAAGCTCAAAAAAAAATCGAAATAAATTCACAAGCAGTCTATTATGTTTTATGAAGATGAAGATTTTTTTCTTCCGCTAATTGCTCTAACATTTTTTTTAGGATTTGAAAGATTTTACAGTTTTTAATAGAACATTTATAGGCTATATATCATCAAGATACGACAAATGAGAGAAAAATACCAACAAAAAAGGTTGCAAGAACGGTGATACCGTTTAAATTATTGATCTATCAAAAAACTTCTCCAAAGAAAATAACATTATGAGGCCAACTAAAATAACTTTTACCTATAGTAAAAACTTCTACCTTTAAGGAGACCTAATTTATTAAGCAAGTTGAAGCACTACTTAGATTTGACAAACATTTGACTTTTTTGACGAAAAAGGTTACGGGCCAAAGCTAGTGTAAACTATATAATTCACAATCTTCTCCTTTTAAATTACTTAGAAATGAGTCTTTACACTTCAATGCACATTAGGAGCAAAAAAAAATATAATATCTAAATACGATTTACCATATCTGAGTTAAAAATCAATTTAGTGGTGATTTTTACATACTTAAAACCTTATAAAATATTGAAAGCTTTTTAATGTCAGAATTATATGAATAAATCGTAAAGTAAAATACGCGTTATATCCATCGCTGTATTTTTTTAGGCCACAGTCAATAGCAAACAGTTTGCAAAATTTATATTTTTTTATTTTTAGTGTATTGTAGAAATTTTATTCTCTTATATATAAAAACATTATAAAAGTATGTTTTTTACATCTCTTTTATATTTATTGTAACGTTTGGTAAACCTCATGGTAAAAATAAATAATTCTATAATTTCACGAACCATATTATTGCGCGTTGTTGTGTATAAGTTGTTTCTTTTTTCACGTTAAGTTTTTGATAGAACGATATTACGGTCGTTGTTATCTTTTTAATCTCTATAAGCCACACTGATTAGAAGATATCTTTATAAAATTTCATCTAAGTATTTTAATGTTTGTAAGTTAGTATTACCATTTGAAATCAGTGAAATCATAAAATAATACGAATAAATTGTATAAATATATATTCATGGTATATCACAAGATTTATTTATTTATTACGTAAAAATTATAAAGAATATAGTGAAAAATATTACCGAAAAAAATAAACAGTAGTATTCTTTTTATTTTATTCTACGGATTTCTATTTACATTAAAAGATATTTTCTAATAGGGCAATAATAACGTCGCGCCGTCGCGCAAAGGAAGCGCACGTTTCTAGCTATCCGTAATATACGGCAGCTGTGGCCCGTCGCCCGCGTTCAGTGCCGTAGTTGTCTGCCAGCCATCATTGCGATAGCCGCGTGCAAATACAACTATCACGATACAATTTCACTAAACAACTATTTTCATTAAAATCATGACATATAACTTGTACCGCTGAGTCCGTTTCGTGGTCTTACAAGTTATTTTATATCAAAATGTAAGAAGTTTCAGAAATCCAGTGTATTTTAAAGTGGTGTACGTAAATTTTTATCGCTGTCGGTTTCTGCAGTTTCTAACTAACTTGAATCGCTTGTTTGATTAATACATAAAATATAACTATGCAACAATGTGGGTTTTGCTCGATGTTGTCGGGCTTGTTACGAAGAGCAATGTGTGTCAGCAGCAGGCGAGGCAGCAGCGAGTCTTATTATCGCGAGCTCGGCGATCAAGACACATTGGTATGATTTTCTCAACGAAAATTATTTATTTATATTTACATCGATACCAGTTTTAGTTATTTGCATGTGTTTCATGTTATAACGACAGTTTTATCGTGCGGTCGCGCAGTACACTACCCGAGCTAATCAATTTGTTTATATATACGAATTCTAATTAGAGTGTTACACGGCCTATGAATAATACCGTGTATTAATATGTCCAACACGAAGATTTCCAAATTCATTTAGCTTTATTTTTCTTTGTGATATGCTAATGTTTCGTTGTTTGGACTAAGTGAAAGTTGGTTTTCACTGAGACGATCTTGAGTATTCCTTGATTTTTACTTAAATAAATGTCAACAACAAAGTTGTAAATCTTGTAGCCATATTTACTTGATAAGCATTATTTATCTATTTTTAAAAATATTCTATATTTATGTTAAAACTTTAAATAATATTAAACAAATATGATTATTTAACCAGTATAGGTTATTTTTAGGTTTTAAAATATGGCAACAAGTTCCATTTATTAAAATTGTACTCTTATATTTTTTTAAATATACTCTTAAAAATATTTATATAGTTTTATATATAGATGTAAATACATTAATGCATGATGCATTAAAATGATGTCAAAATAAGTATAAACAATAATTTAATAGCAAATCAATAATATCATTATTCATAATTTATATTTAGTAATAAATATAATGATGCAGATAATAATATAAGGTATATGGATTTTTCTTGAAAACATATTATTAAATTTAAACTATAAAAAGACTTCCTCATATAAATACAAACATAAGCAATTTTTCTTTTAAATCTCTCTAACATATTGGATGTAAATAAAAAACTTTCACTTTTTATTTTTTTTATATAAAAAGATAAGTATAAAAATGGCAAACCGTCTTAACATTTAATACATTTCTTTTTAAAAAGTCTGTTCAAATTTGGTACTATTGAAAATAAAATTATTATATATAAACACATTAAATCATAAATAAAAAATTTTTACAATATTTGAGTTATTAGGATTTAGTTAGAAAAAGACAACGCTAAAATTTCTCCGGCTCTACACATGTCTACAATATTGACAGAAGTAACAAAATATATAATATGTAATAATTATATTAATAAAATAAGGAATAATTATAACACAAAGAAAAAACTTAGTATTTAAAGTGGGACCATAGAACGTTAAAGATAAAATTAAATTATAACTATAACGCCACCATGGACATGGCATTTCTGTCATTAATGCCAAAAAAAGCTGTTAATTTTACTCACATCATTCATAAATCATACCATACATAAAGATGCGATACAAAATATATTATTTATAACAAAGAATCGAGGAAATTGAATATATATGTCAAACAAACAACGTTCATACAAAGTGTCCTTAAAATGAAATTGCATGCGGTATATGCATGGAATATGAAGCAAGACAAAGGCTTGGTGTGTGACTGTGATCAAATGTGATCACAATATACGGAGTTGTGTTTCTAAGACTTTACAGATCTGTGACATATCAAAGTTGAAACATTCAAAATTTACATTTTTATAAACACAATACACAAAGGTGACTCAAAGAAACATTTCACAACATTTTACATATATACATAATACTTTAGAATAGAAACAAATTTTTATTTTTACATATTAAGTTTGTATAGAATTCTTATACCCCAACCAGCTTTAAATCAGGGTTGAAACAAAAGAAAACATTTAATATGACCCCTTCATTATAAAGCAAGCACAAATGACGGAATGCGATGTTTTCTCTCGAATGCATCAGGCACAATGCATCTTAATAATATATGAAAGATATTATTAATGATTAAAAAAATACTAAAATATATCACATTAAAATTTAGTAACAAAATTAAATATTAATTAAAATTATACTACTTAATCTCGTTTCAATATTATGTTAATATAATACGCTTTTATGTATTATATATGAAATATATCATTATACACAATTTTAATACACGCGTTCATCGAATATGAAATATAAATCCTATTATTAAATAATGCTTTCATTTCAATACAATTGTCATATTAATTCCACTAATACTTATATTTAAATTGAATAATTAATTGTTCATTACATAATTGATACGGAATTATATTTTATTTTGTCAGAAAATCGTTAATATTTGAATCCACGAAACCCAGATGAGAGACATTTGTATTGAACAATGTATTAAGGATGCACTATCTCATTTTGACGCTACTCCTTCAAGAACATCGTTTGTTTACTTATATATTCACATTACAATTTGGTAATGAATTGGATATTGGAAATAAACATACAGATTCCTACCGAAAAGATCAATAGTATAAAGATTGTTCTATAATACTATATGCGTTATAATCTTAGTTTTTACTATCAACGTTAAGAAAATAAGTCAGTATTGCGAACTAAGGATGCTAAATATTTATTTTTAATTATAAAATTCGATCTGTTTACCGAATCCCGATAAACGCCGTTTCAATTATATGTATTGTCGGTGTTGCTCACGTATTTTTCTTCGCATTTAAATTTTGTAACGTAATTTTCGAAGCAACATATTACGAGCCCACTGTAATTAACATTCAGAACAAATGACACTATTTTGAAAATTCTGAACGTGTAAAGGCCTTGGTGGCACCATAAATTTTTGTCTTGACCGACTTGTTTTGCTTACGGTGAATGAAACGATTTTTTTTAAATACTACCTATAGGAATTTTCGACGATGTTCATATATCATAGTTTAATCCGAACATAAATATTTATATACTATTTTTAATGTTTTTTATATTATATATTAATAATAATTTTTTATTTGTTTCAGAAAATCGAGGATCGATTGTCAATGCTATCTAATGACTCCGACCATATAAGTAAGTATAACAAAATTCAAATAAATATTGTGCTCGAATATAAATTTATAATTAAATTTATGAATAATCCCGACACTCAGCCCCGATATTATTAAACTGTATATTAATTCAATCTGGAAATAATAGCTTTATTGAAGTGATGACATATCACAATTACAAATATGCATTCAATTTTAAAGCAAATAAATTCTCTTCAAAATATAAATTGAGCACTCTATTTCTTTGAAAATAATTTAATAACGTACTATAATTCGATTAATATCATACAATGTAAAATTAGACGACTTATCTTGGTAAACATTTCGTTTTAAATAAGCAATTTACGTCGTAACCACCCACTGGCGTTAAATGACAATGAAAATTAGGCTCGCCTATCAATCTAAATTGAAATCCAATATTAAGACTTGTATTAATAGTTATGATCATTATAATTGTACCATCTAGCAGCTAGCTGATTGATATTGATTTTTATGTTAGTACCTTATAAGTAAACAATCCAAGTACCGATTTCGCACGCTCGAGTGTTCTTCCAGACGGAACACTCAAAGTGATAAATAAACATCAACAAATACTTCATCGAATGCCAAATCAGCACGTCGTTTTTCATTACTTGATATAGGTCAAACCGCCAATAGTATCGGTCCTACTCAGATCACAACCAGTTCTCAATCGCCATCTCTCAAATCGACGGATTTTAGTGCTGCACAACAATCCAAGCCAGCTAGGAAGTCTCTTATACTATGTTTATTAAACGCGGTCTCCACTAACAAGTTTCAGCGCCATCGATAATAATCCGATCGTTGGGGAACGTGGCCGGACCATTTCCACTTCATCGTGCTAATTCCACACGCTATACCCCTGACTTTAGTTCTCTGTGGCATAACTTTATTGAGAGCTCGCTGAGCTAATGCAACATCCCTACGATGAGTTGCCACGTTTCGACTCAGTTAAGAATAGTAGGAGAAAGCGATTGAAAATTTTGATCTTACGAGATAGTGGTATCGAATACTGAACCATTTCTTTGTGTACTCTAAGAAATAGAATTGCAAGAATGTTTTTGATAGGACAGTTACATATGTGTGACTGATATCGATTCAAATTAAGGGTTATTTTTAGATCAGCCCGTTACAAATGTATCGTAACAGCATATGGTGGGCAAGTTTGTTAAAAAAAGACAATTACAGATAGCTTGCAACACTTAGTTGTATTAAGCTTTGTTTGGTACAGAAAATGTAATTGTCTTGCAACAAACTTCATAATATTTTCTATATATCTCAGTTTCCAATATCTGATTATCCAGATGTTTTGAATTGCGCTATTATTGGCTACAGCTAGTAATTAAAGAGGAAATAATGATTCATCAAAGTGTGTTCGGTTCATTTCCGTCGGTCAGGGTACTTAATGCAACCGCACAAAACTAAATTCGTCCATTAATTTCTTGTGTCCACAAGATGAGTATCGTGAGTTACATAATCACGCGTACGTTAGATGAGAATACAAATAAGAAATAGATATGAATAGATTTAAATCTATGTATATAATTTCTTACTTGAAAAGTTATCCCACGCCTGCGTTGTGTTCGCTGTTATAAGATACATATATGTATTTGTTTTTGCAGAATCTACAACAGATAATAGTCAGCATAAAAATATAGCTTTGATGAAATAAAACACTACAGTGATATATGTACCTCATTTTATATGAATGCAATAAAGTAAAATTTATTAATAATATTCAATTATTGTAGATTATTTTATCAGTAGATTGATGTGCGTTACTCGTTCTTATTGTGTTATCACGTAGTAAATTACTTCCTTAATGCACCCATAATTTAAAATGACGGCCTATTTACTAAATGTACGACTTCTGACATTGTTGTTAGGTATTTTGTATATTAAAATATATTTTGAAACATTGCTTTAATCTTCGGATGTTAGGTGACTTAAAATTAGACTTGGCAATAAAATTTTACGTAGGACAATTTATTTTTTACGATCAATTTTATAAATATCAATGTATAGCAACCTTGTGTGATAATGGTTCCGTCTGTATTATGATTAACATTTTTATAAGGACCACTTTGATGTTAAAATCATTATGTACATCCTAACTTCATAGACACCAGAAGTAAAGGAGAAATTGTCTAATGTTTAAATTAAAATAACATATATTCACAAATAACTAAGAAAACCTCTAGAAAGAACACACAGAATATGAGATAAAAACAATTTATAATATAATACTAAGATATAAATAAACAAAGTAGGATAAAAGTAAATCCGTGTATATGTTATTTTGAAGCACTAAATATATAAGCCAATGTCAAGTATCAATAAAGTATTAAATTTTATTAAATCTGATAACTGATATTGTTAACAAATTTATTACGACAATTGGCTACCGTTGAATACAACTTGTGTAACATGTGAATAGTACCTAGTATAAGATACAATCAGTGACATTTTTATCACGAGAAATCAGCCTTCCACATTAAATTTTATCTTGTACCGATTACACGTACCTGTCCGTGTGATTCTTATTACAGTTGTAATAGAGATCATGTTACATGCAAAAATTATATAGGAATTGTGTTTATTGATCTGCAAGTAAATTTGCAATCGCTTCAAAAAATTTTATGATAACCAATCCAAGTGATAACAGTATGTAGACAGGTAATTAGTGTTAAATCCAAATTGTTTTAATTATAAATGCAAAAAAAGATATACGTTTTATCTTGTGAAGAAAATCTTATAAATATATTCTTAGTTTTAATCCGTCTCTAAAAAAACCTCATATTAGATGAAAGCATAAAGAGTCGGTTCAGAAAAATTACCATGGGTTACTTATCAACACAAATGCGATAATGTTATTGTACTACTGGAATCGTTATCATATGTATAGGGATACGATGTTGACCTTGCGACGGGCCGTTCACAGGTTAGCTCCGTGGCACTCAATGAATTATCAAAATGCTAACAATTTCTAATCAAAAGAGCTCTAAATATAATATGCAAATAGGTCCATATATTGTGAAGTCACAATAAAATAAAACATATATTTTGTGCTACGCCAACAAACAGTTTCAAATGGCAAAGGTAAACTTTAATTAATAGAAAATATATCACTGAAATGTTTCATTAAAATTGAATTCAGATTTAAAAAGCGCTTGTAAAAGTTTCTAGAGTGAAACGTCGCTGTTGTGAATTCTGTGAACTTACAGACAGATAATATGTAACATTTTAACATACGTTGAAGTTGCATTATATGTCATTGTGCATTTTAGGAGTTCAAAAACTGCATAGAAGTTAGTTCGGATTCAAATTAAAAATTTTATACGAGTGAGAGAATTCTGTGACGAAATGCTGGCATGTGAATGAGATTGTTATGAATAATACTTTTATGAAATATAAGTTAAGTTTTATATTTATTTTATTATGAAATGATAGAATTACTTATGGAAATTTATTTAATATAACGTAGGCTTGAACGTCCAGGCTTTTTATACATGATGTTTGTGAATAAAATGCTTCATATATTTTTTAATTCGAATTGCGGCAAATATAATATTTTATTAGTATAAATATGACATACTGTTCGAGATCTGATAAATAGTTATAAAAAACCATGTTATTGCTATATTTAGATGATTTGCTCGAAGAAGAGGTAAAATTTCTTTGTAAATATTTAAAACACAGTATGTGTGTGTGAATGCTTGAATGCATGATTGCGTACGTGTTTGTGTCTGTGTGAGTGAGGAAGAAAAAATATAAAATAACCCTGGTATCATCGCTGGTAGCTATTTTTTCCGTAAGATATACCTTTACATTTTATATAGGTTAAATTAGTGTGATAACTGAGGTAGACACTATTGAAATCCTCTTCGAATGTGTTCTCTGTTAGCTGTCATTAGCAAATTGAGAGACATTGATTTTATCATTACCATTATCATCCATTGAAAGGGGAGGTTTGTCGAACTACACAAACTACTTAGTTGCTACGTTAGAAATTCTGAAATATATTTGACAAATTTGATGTCGATACATTGAATCTAAACATTTTCAACTCAATCTGTGTCGTAACGAGTGATCTCGAAAAAAACTGTTGACGACACTTGACACTACATGACATTTGCTACATCTCGCCTGACATGTGTGTTTTTAAATTAATATTTTTTTTCATTTTTCTCTCATTCGTATAGTATACAATGTTGTATTCATAAAAAAATTGGTCCGCAAAGAAAGTAACGGAATACGGATATCCTGCACGTAACTACTCACAATCGATCAAAAGAATAACTATATATCTATATATCTTTGATTCATACAAAGGTTCCTACCACGTGCACGTGATTTTCAATTGACTTATTGTATAAATATGTCATTTGATTCGTATATTTTTGTTAAAGACAAAGGTTTTATTACTAACAGCATTCTTGTAGTTACTGGAACTTTTGCTTTGTGTGCCGACAACCAACTTAAAACTTCGTACTAGCTAGAGAACCCGTATATAAAAAAACTAGTGGAAAAATAGAATACTTTATGTATTTATATGGTATATTTTCATAAATTTTAACGTTTTTTCAATAAATTGTATTATCAATAATCGATGATAATTTTCCGAAGCAAGTAAAGGTCAAACTTTATTTTATGAAATTATGTTTGCATCATCCTTTTTATAAAATTCATACCATATTTTATTACTATTTTAAGCTATGGATTATAATATTATTATAAAATATCCGTTTTATATAATATGGTTTATAAAAATTGTTTTTATGATATACAAAATTTTGTATATCATAAATGTACCTTACCTACCCACTATATTACAGCATAATACAGCATGTTACTAAGGGATTAATGACGTTTGTTATGTTATGGATTATAAGGAACTAGATATTGTATTGAAGCACATGGAGACTAGATAGTCTGAAGTATTCAAAATATTGATCAGAAAATTCCTATAGGAAGTATACAAATAGTTTCCCAAAAAACAATCATCGTCTCCATTCAGTGATTTTTGGCGAAAATAGCCAGCGTTGGTCCCCCTAGAGTAGGGCCTACATTAAGTCTGTAAAAACTACATAATCAAAGACTGTCGTTGCACTCACCGACCAGTTGAATAGCTTTGATTTACCAACTTTTTAAGATGGTCTCATCTAGTTGGAGTATTTGTCAATGAACATACAATTTCAAAAATAATTTGAGTACCATAAAAGAAAAATTATATTCGATATAATATTTGAGTATGATATGGAAATAAATTCTTTTACATGCACATTGCACATTCATCTGTGAGATCTGGGTTATGTGTGAGGACTGGGTTACTTTATACATTTGATTGAAAGTTTTCAAGTTTATCCATAATGATGTTCCTTGCTTTCTTTAAGACCCTTGTCACCTTTACAACTACACCTATAAATTAAATCTTAAATATTTTAGTTCTTTATAAATAGTGAATGTACAAGTTAATGAGTTGAATTGAAAGGTTTTCAATTCTTTATATCATAAAATCAATACGAACATCGAAAACTAAAACTGTAATAGTTTTTAGGGAAATCACGTAAACGAATGATCATTTAATTTGACATAGGCGAATCACAAACTTCGCATATACATGCCAGAGAAGTGCATCAAGATTATAAAATGTTATATGAATAATATAAATTAATTAAAATAAAAATTCATTACATAGCAGAAACGTTTTTGATATACAAATATAATACGTCGCGAAGATTCCTCAATATGTATTGTCATCTAATTACAAAAATAATGTTAATCCTTTTAATCAACTGAACTGATAAGAATTTGAATAGTCTCGTCTAAACTTGAATTAATCATCCATTGTCGTATCCTATTTAATATATAATAATGAGTTTTAGGAAATGAATTTAGTATGAATCAAAGTTTTTGTTTAAATTAGATTAGATTCAAAGTTTAAGCATGACTTACATGTTCGGCTCATGTAAAAGAGAACCATATATCCGTGTTTTTTCTTCAGAGCTAGATTTCTGTGTTCATCAGAAAGTGCATGTTATACTGTGACGTACTGACATACTCCACCAACATGATTTTTTTTATTGATCCTAGGACCTTTCATTAACGATTTAGTCTATTAAGAAAAGTTCCTGAACTTCCTGCCCTTAAATCTCGGCTTGATATTTATTTTATCTGAAACATGTTTTCAAAGAAATATTCCTTATAATTTATGAAGCTATTAAAAATCTTAAAATAAGAATAATATTTTTTCTTAGTCTACTTTACGAACCTAAACGGATGTCACTAAGGTTTCCTGGCTGAGATCTGTAATAAAAGATATTTTTAGTATTGAGAGTTTTTCATTTAAATATAAATGAATATATAGGTTAAAGAACTTACATACTTCAATTATGCGATGTTCTATAAAAGATAAATGTATAACATAAATTGTTCTATGGAGAGCAAGTAACAATAAAAATTACAGCCCGTAATACAATTAATAATAATAATAATAATTCATATAACAAATAACTGCATCTTTATATGTAATAACTAAATTATGTATTATTACATACTTAGATAGATGTAAACAGGAAATTATTATGAAGTGTTAATATTATTTATAGATGTGTTTAAAATGTATTATAATCAGACAAACCATCAGATACAAGCATGTATTAATGGAACTAA